AAAGTATATTCCTAGCTTGAAAACCTATCTATATGACAACAACACGCTGATATACATTTTAACTGATAAATTACATCAAACATTTAAAGCAGAAAAAAGAAGGAACACGTCTCCCCTCATTTTAGGAAATCAACATTGTGCTAATACTAAAACTGGATAAAGATAATAGAAGAGAAAGATATGAACATAAATAAAAATTCGTTTAACAAAACAAACTATGAGAAGTCAGATCTGGCAGTATGTAGTAAGTGGTTTTATTATAGGGATGGCAGTGTTGGTTCAGCATTAGAAGATCCACCCCCATAAGTCATCACTTTAACAAAGGAAAGGAAAAAGCCACATGATCCAAAAGTATTGGACTAAATTCTACAGCTGTTCATGGTAAAAGCTATCAGGAGACTAGAAGTCGAACAGAATCTTCTCAACAGATAAAAGACATGTACTCCATACTTCCAGCAAAAACACATTATATGAATACAAAAGATACAATGCTTTCTCCCTAAGGTGGGGAACAAAGGCAAGTATGTCTTCTCTTCATCTGTCCATTAAACTTTGAAACATAGGCCCAAACCAAAATAGTCTGGCAATAAAAATAAACAAATAGCATAGGATTGGCAAGGTAGAAGTAAAATCTTTGTATGTAGATAAAATGATCATGCACAGAGAAAATGCTAAGAAATCTCTAGGAGCCCCTAGAACTTGTATTTGAATTTAGCAGGATTAGAAAACACAAGGTGTATATAAAAATTCACATCTGTGTATACTTGCTATAAATGAAGAATTGGATATTGAAATTCAAAAATAATGTAGGAGTAGAAAGGACCTGGAAAAGTAAAAAGAAAAAAAAAACCAGTGTTGGAAGACATTTATTACCTAACTTTAAGACCTCTTCTAAAGCTACAGTAATCAAGGCAATGTTGGCATAAGGAAATACATATAGATCAATGGAATAAAACAGAGAATCTAGGAATAGAACCACACATATATGGTCCATTGATTTTTGAAAGATTATTTAACATTAACATTTTATAGAACATAAACTCAACTCAAGAGCAGAGGAAAAGATAATGTTTTCAACAAATGGCACTAGAACACCTGGTATCC